TTGTGTTTCCAGGATGTTCAAGGTCAGGATGCACCCGAGATTATTATCGGTAAGGATTGGCGTTAGTCCGAATGACTGAACGAAAGGCCAACAAATTTAGGCAGCTGGTGTTAGAATGGATGGTGGGGCATTGGAGGCAGATCGCCGACAGTAGAGTATAGTAAACTTCGAGGACGAAGTTTAGCTTAAGTGGGGGAGAGTTGTAACACCCAAATTTTCAAAGGCCAAGAAAGGAAAGAAAAGCCCTAATTTAAGGGTAGACTCGGCGAGTCCAAGGAGGGACTCGGCGAGTCCGAGCGGGATCCGAGTCGAGGAGTAAGCGACCGACTCAGTGAGTCGGCCAAGGTGACTCGGCGAGTCTGGTCTGAACAAGGAAAACCCTAATCCCGACAGTTGTATCCTATTTAAAGGGTGTTATGTCCCTCCCTCAACCCCCATATCACCCTAGAGAGCCAGTGCACCTTTGAATTCGTGAGAGCTTCCATCATTTTGAGAGTTAAAGCTTGGAGGAAGAACTTTAGGGAAAGGAACTTGAAGGGCAAGTAGGTTGCTTCAAGGAGGAGGTGTAGATCTGGGATCTACTTCAGTGGTGTTCATCTTGGAGGTAACAAGCTGCTATCTCCCCTCATTTGCACCTAGATCTTTGTGTGTCTTTTGGGCATTCTTGGCTTAAGTGTAACCTTTGAGCTAGAGGTTCAGATCTGAGGTTGCTACCTCAGATCCATGCTTATTTTGGTCTAGAATTTCGTAAAGTATTAGCCCTTGAGTGGATCATGGAGCCTTTTTGCCTTATGCCCTAGTTTATAGCATATTTTGCCTAGATCTCCTTCTCTACACGTAAAGTTTGCAACTTTACGTGGGGAAAAGGCTTAGGAAGGGTGGATCTATAGTTTGGAGTTCATGCATGACTCAAATGTCCTCTGCACGTAAGGAGATCTGAAGGACTCGGCGAGTCCTTTGAGTGGACTTGGCGAGTAGCATGAAGTTGTGGAGAAACTCGACGAGTGAGATGAACAACTCGTCGAGTCGTAAGAAGATTGCCTTGTACTCGGCGAGTCTGTTCTTGGACTCGGCGAGTCAAGTCGCGAAACCCCAAACCCTTCAAGTTGAGACTCGAATCAGTGAGTTGGGTGGAGACTCAGTGAGTTGGACAGGTCTGGACTCAGAAATCGGTAGACTCAGCGAGTCATGGACTGACTCGACGAGTCGAGTCGCGAATGGAAGGAATCTGAACATTATGAACTCGGCGAGTCAGTAGGGTGACTCGGCGAGTAGGGTTGACCTGGAAGGTTGACCTTGACCAGGACTTTGACTTGGACCAGGGTGGACTTGGTTGTCTTTCGGGGGTCAGTTAGACTCAGTGTTGCATTGATATTGGTAGTTCGGGGAGCAAGGGGAGCAGGAGTTCCGTGAGTTGTCGGGCAGCAACTAGTGAGATCATCAGCAAGTTCAGCCAGTGCAGGTGAGTTTCCCTTGTGTGAATGGCTCTAAGGCCACAATGTCGGCCCATGTAGTTATGAGTAGAAGACCCGGGGGTTTGCCCTAGGCACAGTATGCTAGTATTATTTTCAGGACGAGGTCCAGTAATAGCGGGCGGGTGCCCAAGGAATTGTTTATATGATAGTTTATACTTGTTGTCTATGTGATACATGTATGTGCCTGGTAGGGAGGTGAGTGTGGGCAAGGTCCCGTATCTCACCAATAGCAGAGTGTGGATTGGGTTCCATGACTCATCAGGAGCATGAACGGGGTCCCATGACTCATCAGTAGTAGTACATGGGCGAGGCCCAGGATAGGCGAGGCCTTAGGACAGAACCCGTTGCATGTGTTAGTTATGTGTTGTGAAATGTTTATGTGTTATTATTTGTGGGCGGGCGAGGCCTTGTGACAGGCGAGGCCTAAGTAAAACAAATCTGTATCCGAGCGGGGCTCGAAGCCAGGCGGGGCCTGGAGCGGCGGGGCCGTTGTAGCGGGCGAGGCCCGAGGTAGGGGGCGAGGCCCAAGATATGGGGCGTGGCCCAGTATGTGCAGTATGTGGTTATGCATGGTATGTGGTAGGGTGGGGAACTCACTAAGCTTCGTGCTTACGGTTTTCAGTTTTGGTTTCAGGTACTTTCGGTAGCGGAGGGTAGAGCTCGGGGTGATCGCATGGCACGCACCATAGATTAGACAGCCTGGGAATGTTTACTCTGATAATGAACATGTGTTTTGAAAACTTATACTCATACTATGTTTTGGAATGATGATTTTATTTTAAGTAATGATTTATTAAAAGAAATTTTTGATCTTAAATTTTGGGTCGTTATAATATACATACATATATTGTAGGTATAAATTGGTGATACTATATATAATCATTTATAATAGAGGTGCGAACAAAACGAAGCGAAAAAAATGACGTCCGGTGCCCGAAATTTAGAAAAAAAAATCCGTATGTAATCCGTTGGAAATTACCGACAGAGTAGCGACAGATGGCCCCTTCCGTAGGTAATCCGTCGGTAATTTCCAACGGATTACCTACGGATTTTTTTTTAATTTTCGATAATTCGGGCACCAAACGTCATTTTTTTCGTTTCGTTTTCTTCGCACCTCTATTATACATGGTTATCTATACGCTCACCAAGTTATACCTAATATTTATGTGTGTATAACCATGTGCACCTTTAGATCCGTTACTCCTTACACACAGTTACTTCTTTCACATATATTCACACATATGTACTTATACATACATACACATACATAATTACACAAACATTCACATATACCCATAGAGACATACATTTATAGAGGTTGGTAAATGTGTTATGTACGAATGTTTGTATGTATGTATGAATGTGTATGTATGTATATGTGTGTATATGAATCTGTGTGTATGTATGAATGTGTGTCTAAGAATGTAGTGTGAATGTATGTTTCTGTGGGTATATATGAATGTATGTGTAAATGTGTATGTGTATGTGTATGTATGTATATGTACATATGTGAATGTGATTGTAATTTTAAATTTGAAAGGATTGATGGATCAAAATGAGTACCCCACTATAAACATCTAGGTATCAGGTATAACTTTGTGATAGTATAGATAATCACATATAATAGTGGTATGAAAAAAACGACGTCCGGTGGCCCGAAGTATCGAAAAAAAAAATTCATAGGTAATCCGTCGGAAATTACCGACGGAATAGTGACAGATTACCTATTCCGTATGTAATCCGAAGGTAATTACCTTGTATATAATTCATTTCATTCCAAAATAAACAACCAAAATTTTATAAGTACAACAATCTAGTACTAAAGTGTCACGACAAATCTAACATAAAAAAACAAACTAATTATCTGACAAACCATCACCTCCGTTCTAGTCATTTCCTCATTGATCTTTCCCCGACTGAAAAAACACATAAAACTCATCCCTAAACGTCGGCTCGTTGAGCATTGCTCGAAGATTTTCCAATTATATAATATATAACAACATATATAAACTTATAAGGTTAAATTATCAAACATAAATAAAAACAACCAAAGTACATTGCTATTTCTTGTACTTAAATACAAGAAATACCAAATGTATATTGCTTTTTCTTGCACTAGGGGTAAAAAGGCAATTGCCAAATCGACAAGCATTTATTGATGCCAAAGTATATATTTTATTTTTACACTAAGACAAAAAACCAAAATACATTGATAGTTTTTACACTTTGGACAAAAAACATCATAGAAAAATCATGGGATATCATTTTCGGTCGAGACTAGTGCCCAATGATCTACATTTTGAGTCTACTACATTTAATTAGTTTTGGCCAAAAATCATAAATGCTTCTACTAAGGTGAAATTTACCATTTACCCTTGGTCCGAAATGAATTGTTTTGCAAGCCAATTTTCTAAAATTATTCATAAATTTGTAGAAAAAATGTATGGAGGCTTGTAAGTAATAATTTTAAAGCTAAGCACCTGATCTATCTGCATTGATCCAATTTTGCAAAATATGGAATTTAAAGTGGGCAAAACAGGTCCCGAACATACTAGCGACGATAATAGCGGCGACAAGGAGCAATAACGGTGACACACGAAATTAAATGGAGGGAAAGTTCCGCGGTCAACATTTTTTAGGGTATTAGCGGCGACACAGTCGCCGCTATTGATGTCACTGGTAATAATCTTCTACGATGCGCGTCTTTAACCGTTGGATTGGAATTAAGATCGACTGGTTTACCTGGACATTTGACATAAATCGAGGTTTTCTATCAATATCGGTGACGGTATTAGCGGCAACAAAGGCATTACTGACGACATTTTTGATATGTCGCCGCTAATACTGTCGTCGCCGATATTAAGCGAATTTCTTGTACCGAAACTTTTGATGAAGAAAATTATTTGGTTAGACATCAACTTGGGTTGGTTTGTTGATACATCAAAACAATTTTAAAATTTGTTGGAATTCGTTTTAGCAAGTATTTTTTTTCCTCATCCCAGCCTCTAGTTTGGCATATTCAATATACACACAATCGATGTCCTACACTCCTAGCATTAAACGTCACAAAACTGAATCACATGTTCCATGTGTATAATGTTACAACTATGGAGGTATTTATAATTTACTTCCATTAATAACTACATTGCTCTTTTTGGTGTAAAAGAATTTTCCAAAAAAGAATATTGAAATTAACTGTGATTCAACAAAATCCATCCCTAACAACCATTTTAAAGTTGATGCGAGTAATTTACAAACTTCCAAAGTTAAGTATAACACCGTGAAACCAAAAGGCCCCTCTACCAAAGATTAAGGGTTTAAGTCCCTATGTAGTCATAAAATATAGACTAATGATTAGTGTAATGAGTGTGTAACCCGTTCTAAAAAAAATGTATAACACCGCCATGAAATGCATTGATTTGATTAAACGCTAAAACTTTTGGAGACAAAGAGATAGAGAGAGATTGTATATTAAATCTGCTGAAAGAATAAAATTAGAAAAATAATACCTTTTTACCAATTACAACAAATCCAAACACTCTAGTTTTTGTTTCAAAACGTAAGCAAGACAAATTAGCAAGATTGATCACGATGACAGAAAGTTGATATCATATAATATATTTATATTTGTTAATATAATTAAGAAACATGCACCTGGCTACATATAACAAACTGTTGAAAGAATAAAATTAGAAAAATAATACCTTTTTGACCAATTACCACAAATGCAAACATTAGTAGTTTTTGTTTCAAACGTAAGCAAGACAAATTAGGAAGACTATCGGTTCACGATGACAGAAAGTTATATTTGTTAATTAAGAAACATGCAGTTGGCTACATATAACAATCATCCTTTGTGACATCTTTACTTCCAATCAAACCAAGCATTACCAGGTATGAACCTGATGGCTTCCACTTTAAAAAAATCTCTTGCCACGATACTTTTTGTGTTGGCCTTTCTTTGCAAGACCATGGTCCCGATTAATTTAGGTATGATAATTTTCTTTCAATTTTAATTTATCTATACAACTCTCAAGCATGTATTGATTAAATGTAGTTGTATATATACAGCTGTTGTGATAGATAAGTGCATTAAAGATTGTATGGCTGTCAAAGTGAATTGCGGAACAGAATGTAAAGCAGCTGGCTATCAAACAGGTGGTTGCGGGATGTTACCAGATATAATGAAATGCTGCTGTTTTCATTAGATAATACACGTTCATAAAGGTTAAATGCATGGGTTATAATTCCCATGCCTATCAGTTAATGGTTATTTCTTGTAAACCGTTTATTCTGCTCTTGCTAATAAAGTTAAAAAAAATAAATAAATAAAAAAAAAAAAAAAACGACTCCATCTCACGATGGCTATTCGGCTTCTAATTTTTCTGTCTACATTGAGTGAATTATATTTTGTAACATTCACTACTACAGAAAACATTTGTTATGCGGTTAACTTTGTACACTTAACTGCCCACACCAACAAACTAAGCATGATTAAATACCAACAGTTAATGATGGATTTACTTTAATCGCACCAATAAACACCTCCTTGAAGGTCCACTACTAGAAATAGGTTAATAGAGTATGGTTGAAATTATGAATATAGTACATAGAGGGTGCAGTAGTAGAGGGGTGTATTAAATAGATTGCATGCATAATAGAGTACGACTATTTAACCATTAACCGTACTATATGTATTCTATTTACTTTTTAGGACCATCGCATACAATCATCTAATACGCCATATATACACATCTAATACACCAATACACAACCGAACTTGATGTCTCACATCCCCATTCCCTTCCACCATTCATGATTGCATTCTAGCTCATTTGTGGCTTTGCATTCCAGCCTTATTAATCAGCCAATTCCACTCCATGGATACTGAGGAACACATGGATCACCATTCTAACCAAAACAAACTCTTCAATTTATGCAAAGCTTTTATCATGTGATGTAACACCCCATTTATTTATTAGATAAATAAATAAATTAACGAGCGAATAGAAGCCCTAAAATCGATAATTATATAATAAGGTGTTGGTTTCGAGAAGTTGATTGGTTAAGTTTCGGAATTTACTTTGTAAAAATTTTGTAGAAGACACGGGAAGGGAGGGACCGATTATGTCGTTATGGGAAAATTTAGAATGGGACGGGGGTATATAACCTCCCCACCCATCAAACCCAAACCCTAACTCAAAGAGTGCAGCAGCCATCATCGAAGTTCTCCAGCCACCACCTTTCTTTGTGGTTCTGATCAACGAGTCCGGTGAGCATGTTGTTTCCCAACCGACGGTAGTCAACCGCCAGATACCACCTCAATGCTGCCGCTGAAGATGTTGAGCTGTCACTGTGACCTCGCCAATCGCCAATAGGAAGTCGTTCAGCCACCGAAGCCAACCACGGACCTGTTACTGGCAAAACCGAGATCGACCGCTGTCTCCACTATGTCGTCGCCGCTGGTACCACCCTTCGCTGCTTGTTCTTGTTCGCTCGTAGCTCTATGACGACTTGTCGATGCGCCACCCGCTGAAGAAGAAGCTTTTGTTGCCGCCACTGATGTCAATCGTAGCTCTTGTCGCGGGCGACGATGGGGACTTGCTAGCGAACGAACGTCTTTTGTTGTTGCTGCTGTCACGTTTGTGTATGTGTGTGTTGCTACTCCTCTGTGGCTTGTAAAGGGATGCTCGCTGGACAGAAAAGCTCAAGGAGAACCACCATGGTGGCTGCCACCGCTCTTTCTTCTCCACCGCCAACAACCACCGTGGGTGGGTGGCAGTATGTGAGTATTAGGGTGCCATTGCATATATTTTGAAGGTGAAGTTGTGGAGTTGTAATCTTCAGTGGAAATTGAAGAAAAGCGCCACCATAGGATGGTGGCTGCCGTCACATGCCACCGCCAACCACCACTAGGTTGTTGTGTATATGTGTTTGTACTCGTGTGTGTATGTGTGATTATTTGGGGTTTTAGCATTGTAAAATGTAACTAGAAAGAAGAATAGTGAAAAGAAACTAAAACAACCACCGTAGAGTGGTGGCTGTCGTCTCCTACCGCCACTGGTCGTCATGTCGGTTGGCGGTGTACCTTTTTGGATCGTGACTCGTTTGGATGTGGATTAAGGGACTAACAAACCCTAATGGGCCCAATGCAGTCTAGTGGGCATAGTGAAAACCCTAGTGGACTTAATGATATTCTAGTGGGCCTAATAGGCCCAGTAAAGCCCTAATTGACCTAAAAGCCAAACAAATTGATAAATAGGCTAGTGTTTGGGTTGGAAAAACCATAATAACAATAAAACCCTAATTTGGAGAATTAATCGGGACACACAAGAATTATTTAATAACTGGAGATATTAAATAATAATCATAGGCATAAATTAATCTAAGCATTATTAGACTTAATGTACTAAGTCCTTAGTGGATTAAGTCCTTAATGGGTTAAGTAGGAAACTTAACCCTAATCATCATTTTATGTGAAACCCTAATTTCACTTGGGCCTTTTTTTTGGGCTTTGATGATTGAGATAATAATGGGTTAACCAAGAACAAGTTAATGGACCAAAGTAATTAGATGGGCTATATGATAAGGCACATGTGAGGACTTGGGACCAATTTGAAAAATTAGGCCATAGTTTGGGCCTTTATGAATATTTGATATTGGGCCATTAGAAGGTTGAATGTTGGACTGGACTAAATGGTTGGCCTTATGGTAAGACCTTGTAAAGGTTTGGGCCCAATTTGGAAAATTGGGCCATATGATGGGCTTTGACTCATAGTTGACTTTTGGGCCTATGGATTGGCCCTTGGGATTGAATAAAGCCAAGCATGGGGTAATGTAGTAATGTCCCCAAGTACGTACTTATGGTTATGTAGTGGAACCCAATTATTAATTGGGTGTTATTTTGATGTTGACAGTTCGGGAATCTGTCATCCAGTAGTTGGGGTTGAGTCTGCGGGACTTCAGCAGCGTGGGATTGTGTCTACGAGACTTCAGCATTGTGAGGTGAGTTACCTTCCACTAGCGGTGGGTCTACGACCACAATGCCGACCCACTAGTAGGAGTTTTATGTTAGATGATTGTCTTTGTGATATTCATTTAGGTTTGCTGCTACATGTTATGTTTTATGTGCTAGAATGTTATGATGTTATATGATAGTAGTAGTAGTAGGGGGTGAAATAGTCCACAGTTACCGGTCGATAGGACCGAAAGTGTAGTTTAGTACCCAACCATGCTATCCAGATTATGATATATGTGATATGATATTATGTGGTAGTAGTAGGGGGTGAAATAGTCCCTGGTTACTGGTCGGCTGGAGCTAAGGGGTAGGCCAACACGCATATATGCTAGGCAGTATGTGATTTATGTTTATATGCTAGGGTTTTATGTGGTAGTAGTAGGGGTGAAATAGTCCCCGATTACCGATTGAAAGATACCGAAGGGGAGGCCAACTCCCGGTTATCGGTTGAATGATACCGAAGGGGTAGGCTAGCACCCAGATATGCTACGCAATCACCCGTCGAGAGGACCGAAGGGTAGGCCAGCACCCAGATATGCTAGGCAAGGTCACCGGTCGAGAGGGCCGAAGGGGTAGGTCGGGCACCCAGATATGGCTGGCAGTAAGTATGTTATATGTGTTTGTATGGTATGTGGTATGATGGGGGAACTAACTAAGCTTTGTTCATACCGTTTACAGTTTTGCTTTCAGGTACTTTGTTTTCAAAGGAAAGGAGCCGACTCGATCGCAGCGTATCACACCATGTTTTCCGCACACGAGATCCTTGGGATTACACTCTGATATGGTGTTATGATTCTATATATTGATTATTGACACTCTTGTTTTGATATGAGATATTATTATGAGCATTTTTATACTGATGGTTTTATGTAATAACTTAATTAAAAACGAAATATTTGGCCTGTATTTTTGGGATGTTACATGTGAACTGTAACTGAAGAATCAATCTCTACAAAATACAAACTTATTATAGGATTCCATTCCAACCATAAGAATTAGGACATGATCATGTTTTAATTTTAAGAAACAGAAAAAAAAATTAAAATGAACCACTTAGTTCATTAAACATAAAAACATTAATATTCTTTCAGATTACAGTCTATACAAGCTAAAAGACTTTCATTTGTATACCTAGTTCATTAAACATAAAAACATTCTTAAATTTGTTAATCTCACAGCTCTGACCTCTATTTCCCTTTTGTGGCTGATTAATTGTATGCCTACAAAAACAAGAAAACTTAAGATTCAAAATCTCAAATAGCTTCTAATGAAGAAAACTCAAATTATAAGACCATCCTGCCATTAACATCTTCATATATAGCAATGCAAGGGTGAAAACTTCTCTGGAACATAAAAATTATGCACAAATACAACATGAAATACAGGGATGTTTGTATACCTTACAAAAGTTTTATACAAAATATCCATAACAACAACCTCCATAACAGGAAATCTGCACACTTCCACAATAAAACACAAAATATAGCATCCTACTTTTATATATATCATTTTCCATTTAAAAAAAACTTTCGTCCAATTTCTTACTAGAAAATGTTTTTTTGAAAAACATAACAAATTATAACAATGTATATAGAACAACTAATCATTAACATGGAAAAGGCTTCACTTTATCACCAAAAGTTCTCATCCATGTTTTAACACGTTCATCCAATTCCTCACTAGAAAATGGTTTTTTGTCCTTCCAAATGTTCTACAAACAAATTAAGATAAAAAATTGTTATTTAACAAAGGTGAGCCTTTAGTACAATAAACAAAAATGCAAAAAATGTCTAATGATATACTACTTTCAGAAATCTATGTTGTCGAAAAAGTACAAACTCATGCATCCGGTTCGTAACTTAGTAACGACACTCCCAATCGGACAATTATTGACTGCACTAAAACGATTATATATGTATGAGAGTTTTCTTTATATATATATATATATATATATATATATATATATATATATATATATATATATATATAAAGAAAATGGAATATCGATCTTAAGTAAGCAACGTCATTAATATCAACATTCATAGATGGAATATCGATAGAAAATGGAGGTAGGTCATCAAATTGGTTATATTCTTCCTCGTCCACGACATTTTCAACTTCGAGTATACGTCATTTACCATGAAGAAGAATGTGCCATCACGTGTCCATGGGGTCCTCAACAAAGAATACTTGGTTTGCTTGCTTAGCTAGATTAAACGGTTCAGATACATAAGCCATTGTAGAAAGGTTGACAAGTGTGAAATCGTCTTCATCAACTTTAACACCTCTTCGATTGTCAACCCAATTACACTTGAACACGGGTACTACAACGGAGGAATCATAATTCAATTCCTAAATTTCTTGAATGACACCATAATACAAGTCTTTGGCTATATGTGACCTTCCTCATGATTTACACTAGAGTATTCGATCGACAGGGCTATTAGTGTCACTCCACTATTTTGTAGTGAGCTCTTTCTATCCTGGTTTTGGGTATTAAATGTATACCCATTAATGTCATAGCTTTGATATGTTGACACAACATTTTGCGGACCATACCCCAACACTTGCACACTAATCTATCAACATCTTTTGTCCTTCAGTTTACTTTCACCTTATCTTTCAACCATTGTGGAAATTTTTTAATATGCTCTTTAGCCAACCATTTTTCGATCCTCCTACTATTTCTTGATCGTAACATTTCCATGTGTTCCTTTGCATAAGGAGAAACAGATGTCATGTGTTGCAGGACTGTAAAGTGTGCCATGTGGAATTTGTCTCGATTAGGAATTACCACTTTCGATCCAATTATACAAACTTCTTGAAGTCTACCTTCATGACGTGATTGCGCTATTCTAATATTGTTGAATCCTTTCAGATAGTATGTACAAAACTCGGTCACTTCCTCTGCAACATATACTGTGACAACCCAAGTGTTCCCGTTACATTTTCCCCGTTACCGTTAATGAAATATTCCTCTGTATAAAAGTTCCGTTAGTTAGAGGGCGTCAATTCAATAAACATCCCATTTGTTTATAGTGTATATGCCGATAAGTTGTGATATAAGGGAATAAAAACACATGACACACATTTCCATTTATTTGGAAAATGTCAAGTTTTATTATTACGACCACTAAATCGGGTGCGACCAAAAGCCCCGTTTGACGGCAGTATCGGGTAAAATCCCATTGAGTCCCGACTCAAAACCCTATATAAGGGTAAGTGGAGTCTATTGGACACTTTTTACACTCTCTCTCTATACTCTCTC